AGAAGACATAAAACTGTCTTTATTTGCAGACATGATGATCCATGTAGACAATCCCAATGAATTTACCAAAAAAAGGAAGCTATTAGACCTAATAAGGAAGTTTATCAATATCATCAGATGTAAGATCAACATAAAATAATTTATTTCTATATAGTAAAGTTTGGATGTTTTCAAAAATACCACTTATAATATCACCAAAAAACAGGAAACACTAAATTAGAACAAATCTAACAAATATGTACATATTTGTATGCTGAAGACTTCAAAAAACTGACGAAAAATATTAAGGAAGACCTAAATAAATGAAGAAATATATCATGTTCATTGACTGAAAGATTAACTATTTTTAGGATGTAACTTCTCTCCAAACATATCTATAGAATCATTGCAATCTCAACCAAAATCCCAGCAGACTTTTTGTAGAAATTGAAAAGATATCTCTACAGTGTATACGGAAAAATAATGGAACTAGAATAGGCAGACCACTTTTGGGAAGGAAATACCAAAGTGGAAGATTCATGTTATCTGATTTTAAGACAACAGCTATCAAGGGGGGCCTGGGTGGTTCAGCTGGTTAAGTGTCTGACTCTTGATTTCAGCTCAGGTTGTGATCTCAGGGTCATGAGACGAGCCCTGCGTCGGGCTCTGCACTGGGTGTGGAGCGTGCTTAAGATTCTCTCTTTCCCTCTCCCTCTGCTCTTCCCTCTCCTCTAAAAAAAGGACTACAGCAATCAAGTATATTATTAGCTATCAATTATTATTATGGTGTATTATACTATAAAATAGACATACAGATAAATAGAACACAAATAGACCAGCAAATATGGTCAATAGATTTTTGACAATGGTAATTAAATGGAGAAATGATGGTTTTTTTCAACAAATAGTGCTGGAAAAATTGGACATTGTATGTAAAAATATTCATCTTGATTCCTTACCTAAGACCATATACAAAAATTAATTCAAAATGAATTACTGACCTAAATGTAAAAGTGAAAACTATAAAACTTCTAGAAGAAAGCAAAGTAGGAAACCTTTGAGACCTTCATTTAAACAAAGATTTATTAAGACACAGAAAGTATGCACCATAAAAAATTTGACAAATTGAACTTGAAAACTTCTCTTAAAAAATAAAATGAAAATCCACAGGAGGATATATTTACAAAACACATATCTAATAAAGAACTTTTATTCAGAATATACAAAGAAATCTTATAATCCAATAATAAGATTAACCACCTAGTAAAAAATGGGCAACCAATTTAAATAGACCATCATCAAAGAAGATATATGAATATCGAATGAACACACTGAAAGATGCCCAACACTATTATTAATTAGGGATATGCAAGCAAAACCACAGTAAGATATCACTAACACCTTTATAAGAATGGCTAATATTAAAAAGAAAAAACACATGACAGTATCAACTGCTGGCAATGATGCAGAGCTACTAGAATGCATATACTGCTGTTGAAAATACAAGATCTCACAGCTACTTTAGAAAACAGTATGGCAGGTTCTAATTTAGTTGGACATATACTTACCATGTAATCCAGGAATCCCACTCCTAGGTATTTACCGAAGAGAAATAAACACTTATGCAAGACAAAGATCTGTTCTGGAATGTTTATAAGAACCTTAATCATAATTACCAAAAATTATAAATCTACTCATGAGTAGATACACAAATTGTAGAATAACAGAATAACAAACTACTGATACATACATCAATATGGGTAAATACCAGAAACATCATGCTAAGTGAAAGAAGCCAGATGTAAAAAACTATATATTATATGACTCCATGTATAAGATATTTTGGAAAATAAAAACCTATAGGGACAGAAATTAGATCAGTGGTCACCAGGAATCAGGGTAAAAGAGTGAGTACGGACTACAATGGGGCAAGAGAGAACATTTTGAAATTATAATAATATTCTATAGTCTGACTCTATTTGTCATTACATGACTATAGACCTTTGTCAAAACTCATCAAACTAACACCTGAAAGAGTGAATTTAACGCTATGTAAATTACACCTCAATAAACCTGAGCCTTAAAAAGGCATCCAAAATCAGAATATAAGCTATATAAGAAGTTCATATTTTACTATGAGGGTAATGGGAATATATATAGGAGTTTGATTTGTACTTTGGGTCATGAATACCCAAAAAGGTTGTGGGTTACACAAAGTATGTGTAAAAATATCTTCTGGAGGGCGCCTGGGTGGCTCAGTTGGTTAAGCGACTGCCTTCAGCTCAGGTCATGATCCTGGAGTCCGGGGATCGAGTCCCGCATTGGGCTTCCTGCTCAGCGGGGAGTCTGCTTCTCCCTCTGACCCTCTTTCCCTCTCGTGCTTTCTATCTCTCATTCTCTCTCTCTCTCAAATAAGTAAATAAAATCTTAAAAAAATAAAAAAATAAAAAAATAAAAATATCTTCTGGAGTGTACAAAGAATATGTCAAAAATTCAATTTTTTAAAATATCTTTAATTTTTGCTAACTTTATTTCTGAACTTACTTTAAAATGTTGGGGGGTCACCTAAGACACATGACTTTTAATGCAGTTATGTATCTCTTTCTATAAATTTATATACTCACTAAATAGCTCTTTCATTAGAAGTTAGTTAACACAGGACAAATGTCAAGAATCTAGATGACATCAGCACCTTACAGTTTGTGAAACTTACCCTCATTGGTAGAGCCTTTAACTACACTGAAGTTCTCACATACCACTCAACTATGTGAATGGAAAGAAAGGAAGGAGTAGAAGCCAAAGTGTCATAATCTGTGATTAACATAACAATAAAAAATAAAAATAAAAAACAAAGTGTCATAATCTGCAGATAGAGATCCAGTTAAGAATTATGTCCCCAGTGAGAAAGCAGAAGCCAAATAACATATGAGAGACAATGTGGTTATAGAACAAACAAATATCAATATCTTTAGTGTATAAAGTTCATATAAAAGGGTGGAAATGGTTCAGTTAGAAGACTCGTAAAAACCACGAGGGGGACATGAGCACTGGTAAAGCAAGGAATTATAGATACTTAATGGATATAAAAAATATTGAATGACCCCTAAAGCATAGGTACAAACAAATAACTGAAACCAGCTATAAACAAAGTTAAAATCTTATTATTAATGTTCTCTGGCTGAATGTCAGCCCACCTGAAGAGGAAGAACATCAGAAGAAAGCTTACTAAGAATGAATATCCCAGGTAAAAAAAAAATGCTAGCCAGAGAGTGAATTATTGCCAGAGCCAAAGGGACTCCATAGTCTCTGGCCAAATGTATGTGAGCATGATAGAGAGGGGAAAAAAGAAAAAAAATACCAAATAGTAACCTAGAGGTCACATGAAGATAAACCTGCCATGTCTGGGGATTTTGTGTTTGCCAGGTAATGCTAACACCTACGTAGTGCCAATGGTTGCAGTTGCTAGGAAATTAAGATTCAGGATGATGGAATGGGAAATATATTAAAAGAAATAAAATAAAGTTGATGAGGACCTCACAATTTCATCATTAGAGCACATAGCAAACAAAGCTAGACTACAATCTAAGTATTGAAGTAGAGAGACTGAGCTATAGTGTTCTTGGGATTAACAAGAAAAGAGAAGGACCAGTTAAAATAATTTGTAAAAGTTCAGTAACAGTCTAAGTGTGCAGCAAGGAGTAGATAAGAACATAAGAAAGGCAAAATAAAAGAAGTTCAAAATGAATCACTGAAGATCTGAATGTGTGTGTGAATGATTGGTACATCTGGATATAGAGTAGAAATCAATCAGTGAACTCTGAATCATTTAGAAAAATCCTTAGGTCATTGGGCTGTGTCTGACTGCCCAGGTAACCACAAAAACTGCGATTTTAGAGACTTCTATTGCCTTAGGGCTACAAAATAGTTTTCTCATTCAGTGTTTATACAGATCCTCCTGAAAACTTGTGAGGAAGCTTGAGTAAGTAATTTGAATGGGAGATAAATATTCACTTAAGTGAGGGAGTAAGAAAATAATCACTTAAAGAGAAGTCAAAGAGGAAAGAGAATAAGCAAAGGAAATTCTTCTGTCAAAGGAGAAGGAAGGTGGACAATGAAAACGAAGAAGACATACAAAAAGATGAATATATACCTGGCACCAAAGAAACACTGCGGTTGGGGAAAAATATTTGAAAATTCAGAAAAAGAGAAGTAGTTCTATAATGCCCCACTATGTAATCCTTACTATAGCTATTACATATAAGAAATGAATGAGGGTGGGTATGGTAGGAGATGGGGGGGATGTTGGGGAATGTGTCAGGGACACCATTTCTATTATTGGATATCTTGATACTTTGGGGCCTCTTGAGGTTTATTCTAGGGTAATCTTAACTTTATAAAAAAGATTTATTTATTTAGTTTATATTTAGAGAGAGGGCACACGACTGGGGGGAGGGGTAGAGGGAGAGAAGCAGATGCCCCACTGAGCAGAGCCTGATGCAGGGCTCGAGCTCATGACCCTGAGGTCACGACCCTGAGATCATGACCTGAGCTGAAATCAAGAGTTGGACACTTAACCGACTGAGCCACCCAGGTGCCCCTAGGGTAATCTTAACTTTTTAAAGCTGCCAGTGCTGCCCTATCTACACAAGGCAGTCAGACACAGATACTGGGGTTTGTGTCTCCTGGACTCAGACAACAGCACAATGACCTCATTAAGAAGATGAGCTTAAGAGTTAGATATTTGGAATGGCTGCCATAGCTACCTACTGATTAGGGTAGTTTTCAAGGACTTCTTGAGAGTCAGGCAGTTGGCAGAGACCTGCAAGTCTTCCATAAGTAGATTTCCATTTATATAATTCCTTCCTAGAAGTTTAAGATAATTCTTTCCTAACACTAGAATCTGTGATTTAAAATTTAAAATGTTATGGCTACTGAGTCAGAAAAAATAAAATTGTACTGTACATTCTCAACTGAACCATGTTTTAATATGAAATGGGAAGAGCCTTACCCAATGTCACGTGGATTGTGGATGATCTGGTCCTGTGATGTGGTTGTCTTGATTCTCACTCCAGCTGCTCGTCCTGCAGAGCCTTCTCCCTGCTCAGCACTTCTGAGGTCGCACTGCCTTTCTGGGGCTCAATTGGTATCACATTCAGATTCCCCAGGTCACGTGTATCTTTGATATTAACCTAGGCTGTCCCAAAGGAAACAGGGAATCAAACAAATTCAATGGAAAAGGTGTAAAGAAACTTCCCTACCAAAACTTTAGCAGGCATGTCACTCTGAAACCGAGGAATAAGACAAAATCTCATCTGTGATATAGGTGCCATGCTTATATTCCTTTTTTGTTCTTATTTGAAAGGCTGTCTGTGATACACTTGTTATTTGGTTCAGGCTGATATCATCTTTATGAGGAAAAGGTGAGGTGAGGACAGAAGAGTAGGGAAATAACAATTGCCTTGTGTTTTCTATAGGCCGAGTTCTATGTAGTTACTTTATTTATTATTTTTTTAAAGATTTTATTTATTTATTCATGAGAGACAGAGGGAGAGAGAGAGAGAGAAGCAGAGGGAGAAGCAGGCTCCCAAGGAGCAGGGAGCCCGATGCGGGACTCAATCTTAGGACCCTGGGATCATGACCTGAGTTGAAGGCAGACGCTTAACCATCTGAGCCACCCAGGCGCCCGTCTATGTAGTTACTTTTAAAAAAAATGCTTTCTGTTTGAGTTCTCACATCAGTCCTCATGTGGGGCTTTTTTTCTAGACACGTAGTTTTCTTCAATGAAACTATAATCACACTCTACATGTTGTCTTATAGTCTGGTAATACAAAATACGTTTCATGGCTTTGTTTGCACACTTCATAAAAATAGTTGCCTGGTTGAGAAAATTTGGAAAATCTGGCAAGCGCCATCTTGTGACCAGTACCAGAACTGCACTTTATTACTACCAGATACTTATGGAAGGGTGGGAACTACATGCTGCCAAGCCAGCAGTTTTCTCAGGCTTCTAGAATATACCATGCTCAAATTTAGAGTTTTGTTATGCATTATGCAAAACATGGAATGCCAATGTCTTTACTTCCAATGGTCTGATAAAAAATTGCATACCTACTGAAAATTGAAAAGACATGATTTATAAAAAGAAAGTATAATTCTAGAAAAATAATTAATATTATTGTTTCCTGAATATTTTTCCATCTTTATTTACAAATACACATGAATGCATATAATTTCAGACCAGCTTTTCACCATGCTCAAGCGCATGGTTTGAAAGTTTTCCCCTATCAGTAAGTATTTTCATTGACTATGAATCACTTCAAATGTAATTTCCCCCCTAATTTGTAACATTTTATTTCAAACTTTTTTCTGCTACCATTAAAAAATGACTAAATATATATTAATGATTATTTTTACATAGAGATAGTAGACTGTCTTATGTCTCCAACCACACAATCCCATTAGCAAACAGCCTTATATTTTTTGTGATTCTGTTAGACATATAGTATTAAGGCAGTCTTTTATCTTTAAATAATATAGTGCTTGCCATTCTGCAATTTCCATTTTTCGCCTAATACTACTTCTCAGACATTTTTTCAAATCACTACATGTTCATACTTCCCATATGTCAGCTATATAACATTCAATTGTATGGATGCACCATGCCACATGATATTTCTAAAACTGCTAATAGAAATAAACCAAATCCCCTGTCTCACTAACAAACTTTAAAAGATATAGAAAAATAGTTCTTGCTGACCACAGCCATACCTGTGTTCTGAAAGAATGAGTTGTAAGGAGGACACATGCAGGGCGGTATCCAACACAGCAACCAGGCTACGCGCTTGATCAGGTCCAGGAAAATTTCCACTATCGGCAAAAGACAAGGGGGGTATGTTTGCATGTCTGTCGTGTCTGTGAATGTTTATGTGTCTGAAACCAAACAGGTACACTGTTGCAGCTTAGTTGTGCTCTTCTCATAAAAATAATCACGGAATAAAACAATTCTAAAAATGCTGAAACCAAATAAAAATGTATTTTGAAATCCCAGTAATCTGAACACTTCAGAGATGCTGACTGTTAACATGGGAGTCTAGTTCTCTTTAAGGAAAATGCATGTATTTTTCACAAATGTTATCACTCAACAGCATATCTGAATCTCTTCCACATTCATTCGTGTACATTTATACTTGTGTTTGTACATGTCAATCACTTTTTATGCTTACATTTTTCTATCAGTTACTTTTTGTGTAGAATAATAAATGTTCACAGCAAAATATAATACAATCTGTAACAAAAATAGAAACATGGAATGCCATGTAAAAATTAACATGAACAGCATGCCTCACTGAAGTCTTAATTTAGAAGCTGTAATCTGATCGCCCATTCCCACATTGTGGACTTCATAAAATATCGAGAGAAACTAAATTTTCATGGGATTGATTCTGTAACAATAACAACAATTCTCCCCAAACCGTATTCCATTCCCACCTCTCCCAGGCAACAACGTCTTTTTTTTTTCTCCCACTGTAACACCCAAACCCGAAGAAATTCCCAGAAAATAACTAGCTTTAAGACAGCCATTACCTTGAAGCTTCTTGTCAGCTGCAGCCTCGTGAAATGCAGCCCCTCCCCCAAGACTGCCCAGGCACAGCTCACTTCCAAGCTTCTCAGAGAATGCTCCGCCCCCTCCCTGTGATGGGGAAAGTAGGGGGCCTGTCCCTCAATTAGAGGGAGGAGAATCGCCAAGTTAACTGAAATTCACTTAAAGGGGAAAAACGTTCATTTTTAAAAGACTTGAAAGTGAAATGGCAACATGTGTCTCTTTAATTTCCATTCAAACCACAGGGGTAAGGTGATTTCCTGAAAAGACCTAGCAAATTCATTTATCATAAAATAAAGACCCAGTTAAAAATAGCTCTTGCATATTTTTCTTGCCTTTTCTGGCAACTTATTTCTACAAGATTTTAAGACACAGCTGGTCATTGTCCATTAAAAAGACCTGTTAGGTCCTTGTTTCTGATCACAGTGAATGAATACATTAATTTGTGAGGAATTATATCTCTACAGTTTTATTCCTCTGGCCCTGGGACATGGTGTGTCTCTTTACTCAGGTTGTCTCATTTATCCTTCAGAATGTTTTCTAGTTTTTTCAAGTACAGTCATTCCTTAAACATAAAACATCAATCAAAATCCTTAAAGAAAAGAGATCTGTATCTGAATAAACTGAAATACAAAAATATGGTAAAAATACAACAAACCAAAGTTGAAAAAAGAACAAACTTCACAAAACCGTTTTCAATTAAAAAAATCTCTAAAGTAGAGCTTCCAAATTAATAAGAAATAAACAGCAAAGTGGAAAAAATTGAGCAAAGGCTATAAATAGGTAATTCACAATATTCTGAGGGAATAGTTTTTCCCTGCTCCTATTTACTTCCTGTGAGCAAGCTCAAGTAATTCAACTACAGGTATCTCTCTCCTTTTTGTGCAGCTGCAAGCCTCTAGGTTGTTTGGTAGATTTGTTTAAATGTGATGTTATAAGGCCCACTTGATTCTCACAATAATCAATGCCCTGCCACTTACCTTGACTGCAACTTATCTTAAGCTGACATTTTGGCTCCCATCTGCAACTCTTTTTGTTTTATATCAATTTGTTCAGTGGAGAAAGGAAAGTGCTATTCAGTGGGGCTTTTCAAAACCCAAACATTCAAAATAAAAATTAAAAGTGAACGATACATGAAGGATACTCACCTTCCCTAATAATCAGAGATGCAAATGTAAACAGCAATGAGATTTTTCTACCTAGTTTCACTTACAAAGAAATGAAAAAATGATACAATGGACAGTTGACCAGAAAATGAGGAAATGGGTACTTTGGCTCACGTGCAAGGTCATGAAGCTGGGAAGAGGGCAAAAAAGAATTAAAGCCAAAGTCTATCTGACTCCCAAACAAAAGAATGTGTTCTTTCTCCACCAGTATTCACTGCCTCCTGGGCTTGGAATACTGACTCTTTGGTTGAACCAAGGATGATGTCATTTACCTTCAGACTGTGAAGAAATTGGTGAATATAAGCCCAGAGTAAGCATTGCTTAATTTCATGTCCCTTCTGGTGAACTACAACCACCTTCAGTAACTACCATACTTATCTATGAACACTCCATCTTTGATGTACATTCACACTTCCACACAAATTAAAAAATATATTTCTGCACTATGTTCTCACACTGATCATATCTGCATGATAGCATTCACTTGGCCATGGAGTAGTTATGACATATCTCTTTTGTGTTGCAGGGCCTGGCAGTACCTTCTCCTAAAGATATAGCTATCCCTGGGCAGTGGCTGAAAAATCAGTCGTTTGTTAGGTAGAGAAATGCCCCAGTTCATTCCATCCTCATTTACATTTGGCAACTCTTTGTTCTTGTGCTTTTGTTGTTTGCAACTTCTAATTCAATATGAGAAAATAGTTCTTCTATCCTCTCTTACTGAGCTTTTGTGTTCACAAAACATTCCAGAAAGTAAGATTTAAATTTAGATTTTTAACTTAGAGGTGTTGTTTCCCAGGAAGTGCTGAAACCTACACAGTGCCAATGGATCATTCAGAGGGTTAGTTCTCTTAAGAAAATGTTATGCTAGGTTTAAAAACAACAACGAAATAAAACATAAGTCATCTTGGTGAGACCCTCACAACCCCACCCTTTATCCCAGTGAACAAGTAAACTCAACTGCTGCCTCCTGCCCCCTCTGACTATCCAGGTTGGAGAAACAGAACTGCAGTATGACACAGCTCTTCCTGTAATTAGCAAACAAGAGAAAAAAAGCTGTCTGCACTGGGGACTCTAAAGGAAGAAGAAACCATCATTCTTCCATTCTTCCAGAGACACATAATGCAGGGTCAGACTGGGTCAAAATTATTCTGTTAGCCAATCTGAATAAAGGACATCAAGGGGTCTTTGGGGAGGAGATATGGATTTCTACTGGCACACTCCAATGTCCAGCTTTTAAGAATTTGTCATGGAGGCATTATGACAGAGTCACGTTTTTGAAGGGGTCGAATAGGCAGGCAGGCAGGCAGACAGGTGTGGGTTTGAGACCTTTATTAGTTCAGTGGAGAGAAACATCAAATCCTTGACAACTGTGCTGAGTTGTCATCTCCCCACATAGTTAAGAAAGACGCATGAGTCACATGTAACCTAGGTTGTCTAAATATTAAATCGTATTTAATGGTACGTAAAAAAGAGTTTATTACCTGTCTAAGTGTGTAGTAAGAGACAGATGAGACAGGAAGTACGGGAAAAGGGAGCAAAAGAAGTCCTAATTTAACCACAGAGAAATTGAATTTGCGCATCCTCAATCAGTGCAGCCAGATAGACAAGAAACCAATCAACAGATACACAATACGCTAGGGAAATCCTTATGTCACTCAGCTAGTTGTGGCTGCCTGGTTTTCTAGAAAGCAGTGTTTTTAATGAACCCTTAGCTCTTCTTATTAGGGCTAGTGAGTGGTTCTCGCCTGCTTGTAGATTCTTATTCTTCTGAAACTTCACAAAAGAGCCTGAATAAAATATGTTCAATGGGTGACAACTGAATTAGATGAAAACATGGCAGAAAAGAAAAGGGATCAGATACAAAGTTTACTTTGCTAAGAAGAAAGAATGTGGACAATGAGAGTGAAGATAAGATAAAAATCAAAAGAATAAATAGTGAGTATCAGCTGAGGTTAGAGACACGGAACATGTTTCAGGGGAGAGGAACAAAAACAGAGAAGAAAGATTATGATAACAAACCCAATATCCTGTCTTTATTATTTCTATTGTACTGTAAGAAGGGAATGTGTGCCGGAGAGGCTTTGGCAGTGTCAGGGACATCATTTGTGTTCCTGGATAATTTGGGCCTTTTGGACCCCATTAGGTTATCATGAGGGAATGTGTGGCTTTGTGTTTTCTATACTGCTAGTGCTGCCCCATCTGTCCAAAGCAACCAAAGATCTCATGGACCCAGACAGTAGGGTTCAGCACCAACCTCATTAAGAGTATGACTTCAAGAGTGAGAGATTCCTGATGGTTGCTGGGAAAGAATTAAATGTGTTAAACCACTATAAAATACTATTCAAGAGAGTATACAGATGTCTGTGTAAGGAGGGTCAGAAGACCTTAAGCAGGTTTTAAGGTATCTTTGTAACCCTGTTATCTAGTATGTGGTGATGACAACCTAGCTGTCAAGGAATGGAGAGTCAGGCCATTGGCTGAAACCTCAGGTAGATACCCGAATAGACTCTTGCACAATTTTCTTCACAGTAGTTTAACACATGAGATTTTTTTCCTCCCAAATGAGAAACTATGACTCTTAATTACAGGATGGGGAACAAAATAAATTGTACCGCTAATTCTCAACCTAACATAATTTTAGTATGAATGCAGCTTTTAAGGTTCTCAATGCATTTTCAACGTGAAATATTTCATGAAATGGGAAGAACTTTACCCAGTATCATGTGGATTATGGAAGGTCTGGTCCTGTGATCTGGTTGTCTTGATTCTCACTCCAGCTGCTTGTCCTGTAGAGCCTTCTCCCTGCTCAGCACTTCCAAGGTTGCACTGCCTTTCTGGGGCTCAACTGGTATCACGTGCAGATTCCCCAGGTCATGTATATCTTTGATATTAACCTAGGCTGTCCCAAAGGAGACAGGGAATTGAACCAATTCAATGGAAAAGGTGTAAAGAAACTTCCCTACCAAAACTTTAGCAGGCGTATCATTCTGAAACACAAGAAGGAGGTGAAATTTCATCTGTGATGTAGATGCCACGTTTATCACCCTTTTGGTTTTTATTTGAAATGCTGTCTGTGATATAGTTGTTACTTGCTTCATACTGAAATGAGCTCTCTCATGAAAAGTATGATCTGGGTACAGGAAAGAAGGGAAATAACAGTTGCCTTGTGTCTTCTATATCTAAATCTCTGTAGTTACCTTTCAAAAAATGTGTTCTGTTTGAATTTCATATCAGTCCTGGTGTGGGTGCTTTTTCTGTTACACATGTGAAAAATTTCAGCAGAACTGCATTCACACTCCGCATACTGTCTCATAATCTGCTAATGAAAAATATGTTTCATTGCTTTGTTTGTCCACTTCATAAAAATGGTTGTCTGGAGAAAATTTAGGACACCTGGCAAGCTCCATCCTGTGACTAGAAACAGAACTGCAGATACCCTGGTCCTTAGTGGGGAAGGGTGGGAACTACAGTTATCCAGACAGTAGCCTTCTTAGGCTTCTATACTTTTTCATTCTCAATTTAAGAATTGTGTTGGACAAAAACGGAATAATAATTCCTCATTTTACTGTCTTTATTAGAATATCTCTCATGCATATTGTATATCTTATGTCATCTTTTATTTTTCAAAGAAAGCAAGTCTCCACAATAATGGTCAAAATATAAGGGTTTGCTCTCCATATTTCTAGATTTTTCCTACAGGTTTTATAAGTGTGCATGGTTTTTAAACAAGAATACGCTTTATCACCTCTCCACATCAATAAATATTTTCTTACATCATCTTTTTGTGAATTACTTTTACAAGAGTTGTCTATATTTCTAAAATTTGATCTCATTTTCTCATAATGAAAATTATTCAAACTTACTCTTTTCAAAGTAAGATTTTTTAAATGGAGAAATATGATATACAGAACACTGAAGTGTTCTGTCTCTCCGACTACATCTATATCCCCAATTAATAAAGTAGCATACAAATTTCCAGATTTTTCTGGCATATATTGTATTAATATAATACAGGTCATTCTGCAATTTGCTTATTTTTGGAATATACCATGGACACCTTTTCTTATTATTATTTAGTTCATTGCATTAACTTATTCTTTTTACAGCTGCATAGTATTCAACATTATGGATGCACTATCCTATGTGGCTATTCTATAATATGTTTAAAACATTTTTTGAATTATTTCTCAGGAATACATCAATATACAAATACATACCTTCTCCTTGAACCAAAGTCTGGACAATAGTCTAAATATCTGATTTGCAAGAAAAGCCCAAGCAACCAGATAACCAGCCTTCTCAGATCCACCTCCAGGTAAAGGCAATGGAGTGTGTGTGGTGTCTATTTAAATATCTGTAACAAAATGGATTGCTCCCTCTCAGCTCCATTATGTGCTTCCAAAAACCTCTAAAGATACATAAAATCTAAAGAAGAAAATACACGCCATCATTACTTCAACCACTGAGTTGTTTACTGCTTACGTTTGAGTCTAATCCCTTTGATTGTAAGCCTTATCATAGATATACTAGAATGAACTATCTGAGATTACATTTATTCACCCATATATTTGAAGATTCTTCCATGTTTGTATATATTTACACATTTTGGAGAAGGTAGTTTTCTCCCCCATGTTTTAAAATTCTTTTCTTCATGCTGACACAGGTACTACATGCTAAGTGAAATGTGGAAGAAAGAAGTGGAAAATTTCCTCTCTTTTATCCCCTAGATATCTTTTACTACTAGACATACTGTTTGTTGTGTTTTATTATATTAACATATATCCATTATTCCTTAGCTTATGATTTTTCAGATATTTTTCTGATTATAGTAAAAATAGGAATACATATTCTTCTGATAGACAGGTAGAGATGTAGACAAAGATAGCCCTCTGAACATCCATAAAAAAAGCAATTCCTCTAAGGCACTGAGTATCCCCCTGACAAATAACCAAACTCCTAATTTTCAGAAGTATTTAAATCTGCACAGTTATACATTACTTCAGATTATTACCATATAAACTCCTTCACAACAGTAAGATTTGTTAGAAACACAATACAACCAAACTAATATGAAAAGCCAACAGCCCCAACTAACTTCATTTTTCATTTGGGATTATCCCAATCTTTTTTTTTTTTCAAAATAAGAAAGATTAATTTCTTAACTTTTGTTTCATCATTTATCCCTTGTTACCACTGCTTTTTATCTGAAACCTAAAATGCCCTATTCAGAAGTTAGCTTTGGCCACCTCATGAAGTATTTTTTACTCAGGTGTAATCTGATCACCACCTCCCCCACTTTCAAAATGTGGACTTTTAAAATATCTGAAGGAATACAAAATCCAGACATTAAGTCCCTCATAGAAACAACGACCCCCACGAAACGGCACTCCTTTCCCTTTACTCCAAAGCAACAGTTCCTTCTTTTCTCACCTTTACTTGAAAGTTTCCAGAAATCACCGAAAATAACTAGCTGTTACGACAGCCATTACCTCCAAGCTTCTTCTCTTCGGCGGAAGCCTCCAAGTCTGTATGTAATGCGGCTCCTCCCTCAGGACTGGCCAGGCACAGCTCACATCCAAGCTTCTAGAGAATGCTCCGCCCCCTCCCTGTGATGGAGAAAGCAGGAGGTCCTTCCCTCATTTAGAGGGAGGAGAATCACAAGTTAAACAGAAATACAGTTAGAACTGGTTTTCTAAAAGAATTTTAAAGCGTAATGGCAAAATATGTCTGTTCAATTTCCATCCAAACCCCTAAGGTGGGTGATTTCCTGAAAAGAAAAAAGAAAAAAGAAAAGAAATAGAAGTAGCAAATTTCTTTTTCATATAATAAAGATGCAGTAAAATTTTCCTTACGTGTCTGTTCAATTTCCATTCAAACCCCTAAGGTGGGTGATTTCCTGAAAAGAAAAAAGAAAAAAAGAAAAGAAATATAAGTAGCAAATTTCTCTTTCATATCATAAAGATGCAGTAAAATTTTCCTTACTTTTTTTCAGGCCTTCTCTTATACTTTGTCTCTGGTAAATTTGAAACCTGCTAGTCAAGCTCCACTACAAAAAAATGCTAAGTGTCTTGATTGGGATTGTTATGAATGAGTACTTTATTTTAGGTAGAATTAATTATTTACAATTTTGAATCTGAACCTGGGACATGATATATCTATCTCTCCTTTCACTTAGGTCTAATACTTCCTTCCTTAAGTCATTTCTAAACAAAAATCCTGAAACAAAATCTGGCTATATGGAAATTGATAAAAAATATATATATATATGTGTCAATAGTAAAATCACAATAAGCCAAAGTAAAAAATCAACCACAAACATAGAAATATTTTTCAATGCATATGACTGGATAAACAAAAATATCCCTAAACTGGTTCTCATATTTCCATAAGAAAGAAATGAACACCAGAGTAAAGAAACTGGTAAAAGACACAAGCAATTCACAATGTTCTTTCCTATCCCTGATATTCATTTCCTTGTGAAGAAAGCATGAATAGTGCAACTTGAAGGTTCTGCTTCTAGAGTAGAAAGGCCTCCAGGCTGATGGATAGTTTGCTTAAATCTTGGGTTCTGTTAGTATAATTTCACTCTCATAATGAGCAATTCACTTTCCCCCTGAATAAAGCTGACATCTTGGCTTCATCTACTATTTCATTTATTTTGTTGTTGTTGTTGCAATTTGCTCATTATTTCCAAGATGTGACAATTGTAGAGACTTTTATGTATCTGCTAATTAACACCAAAATTATAATAATGCCAAAATGGATAGGAATACATTGTTGAACAAATAAGAAAATTTTGTTTAGCTCTAATAGAAGTGGGAAAAAATGCTGGTCAGCTCTTCCTGAGGCTCTTTTAGCATACAAAGCATTTTGATCTCTCCCAGATTAAAGTCTATTTATTTTGGTCTTATACTATCTGATATGATTTCTAACAGCACATTCTCTCAAGGGCTCTAATATAGTTTCAGAAACCAAAGCTTCTCAATACTGCAATTCTATAAAAACAGTTTCTGTTCGTGAGAATTTTTGCAAAATTGCAGAATCAGTTCTGCTGTTTATCAAGGACATAATACTAAGAAATATTGTTCTTTGAAACGTGGCAACATTGACAACAGAGAACTGATAAACTTTGTTCTTTAAAATGGGAAGACCTTGAGAAATTGTTATTAAAAACAAAAAGGTTCTACTCTGAGGGTTGCTCTTTTATTGTTTTTGATATTATTGTAATTTTCTTCAGTATCGAAAAATGTTTTAAAAAGAAACCAGTGGAACATAAAAAGTAAACATACCAAAATATAAAATATTGAATATACCAACTATTGGTGAAGATGAGGAGAAACTAAAGGTTTGTACGCTGCTGGAGTATAAATTGGAACTAATGTTTTGGGAAATGTTTGACATGATCCCCTAAAGTTGAACATTACAGAGGTTAACAGAGAACATTTAGGACTTTTCATAGCAGAGTGGCATGACTAAACAGATAGTGGAGAAATGATCTCCACAGAGAGAGATACGTATACTCCAGAGCACATATAAGACTATCTAGTCTGGCCTAGGAAGTAAATACCCAAAATTCATTTCTTTTCATTTTATTTATAAACATTTATTTATAAATACTTTTAAATGCTTCTAATAAATCACTTATACTCTAACATATTATATATTTTATAAAAATACAGGGTATCAACAAATTTTTCACAGTAGTGACAATAAAAAATAGAAATCTCTGCTTTATGGGACTCATAACCTACCTAAGTTCTCCCACTTGTCTTCGCCTTGATTTGCATTGTTTGGGATTATAATATTATGAAAGACTAATCTGAACTTCCTAGATTGCCTATATAACTAATTTTGCTGCTCATAGAAGTTGCCATTGCTCATTAAATGTTTAAGAT